AATTTCATAGAACAAAAGTTGCTCAGAATAAGTCCTGGATTTGTTTACAATGCAACATTTTTCACCCCCCGAGAAGAAGTGCCATAATCCCCAGAATGAAAGCAATTCCAGTACAGAGTCAACTGTAAAATAGAAAATAGGTAGGTATTACCTAATTTCAAATGTTTTACAAAATTCTACAGTGTCGCCTAATTTTACTTTCAATAATTTGAGTCATAAGATTGTTCTATCAATGGTTCATTTATATTTCGGATCACAATAATTTGTTGTCGTCTTTGCAAATTAGCATTCTTATAATTTTACATTTTTCATACATATTGTTTAAACCCCTACACATTTTTCTCATTTCTAATTAAAAAAAAAGTGTAAAGTAAAAAAAAGTTTTTCATTTATAAAAATATATATTTCACTTTCAAATGAAATTGGCAATTTCAGTTTATTTTTATAGTATACCCTCTCTCCACCACCTTGGCACGGATCTGACTACCAAGCATGTCAACAATTGCTCAACAGAATATGATGATTGAAATGTCATTTTCACGCAGTGAAATTCTTGAAATGTATTCAAATTCACGAAGTCACTCTTTTCATGGCCCAATATCTGTTGTTTTGAAAATAAAACATGCAAAATAATTTCTTGATCGTTGATCGAGTGAAGTTCTCTTGGAGACAAACAAAAAATTTTGTAATGAATAATTTGAATGCAAAGAAATCTATCAACCTAATATTGAAGCAATTTGACAAAGTATCATTCATACCATTCATCGTTTAACTCGAATTCATTTTAGTATGAATTATTATCAATCTAGTCCATAAGTGCCATTTCGCAAAATTTGAGTTCCCTGTTACAGAAAATTGATTGTACATTTTGTAATTCCACCAAGAGTAATTTGAGCTTCATTAATAAATTGATTTTCACACTTTATTTTTCAAATAGTCAAAAAATAAATAAGTTTTGAAAGGGATGTTTCAATTTTTTCATTTCATTTCATTTTTTTTCTTGAAGCGTTCGAATCGGGCATGTGGCATGTGCACCATCCCTTTTTACCTGTATTTTCACCAATCAATTGAAACTATAAATATTAGTGCTATAATTTCAGAAAGTTTGATGATTTTTAAGTTACCAATTCGCAAAAAGGAACCTCTTTTATTTTGTTCAATAGAATTGTTTATAACTTGTAAATTATTCGTTAACACAACGTGGCTTGGATCGTAAATTAATCTATGTGAAATTATGAATCGAATGACATCTCAATCCTGATTTTCCGTGAAGACAAACTCAAATAATATGAAATGGCACGAACTAGACCTTGAGTAAATAAGAATCAAGCAAATTAAGTCTGTATTTCGAATTTAAAAAAAAGAATATCCAATTTATGATAAAATTATTGTAATTTCACAGTATTTGAATCGTTAAAAGGTGAATAATGAATTCCGCTGATTCAACAGAGTAGAATGAAATATTCATTATTCAAAGCTGAAAAACTATTGTAAAAATTTGGGATTCGAAATTATATTAACGAAATCGGTAGGAAAGCTAATACTTACTTTACACACCAAAGCTGTTTTTGTAGTTCATAATAACTTTTTCAAAATTCAGCAATGCTCAAATAATTCCGGTAATACATAATTCTATGAGAAAAAAATCTTTTCTAGTTTTCTACACCCCATTTACATCTAAAAGGCAAAAAACTTCCTAGCATTCAGAGAAAAATTGTATGAATTTGAAATTCAAAATTAGTTGTATTGATTTTATAAAAAAAGGTCTTTGGCTTTCTACTCCCAAATAAATAACTAAATAACGCTATGTAACACTGGAGAGCGAAGAAATGGTTCCCAATGGAATATATTCTGGTATATTGATATAAAATGTTACTCACATGGAATACGAGCATCCTCAATGGTGTACTTCTAAGTTTCTTAACAATTTACTTGTCTCATCACCTCATCAGCACCATTTTGGACAAAATTTTCTGACGAAGTACTCATTCCTTTCAAAACATTACCACTTTAAGTCACCGGAAGAGATAATCTGCTTTTGTCACGATGAGAGTATACATACATAATGTAGTTAATCCCAGCCATAGTTGTTTGAAAATTGTTTGCCTATAAGTAGCTACACTAACAGCAAGCGATATCGGCTGCATATTTCAATAATATAACCCAAGTCAAAATTGAAAGATTAGTTTTTGGGAATGAGAAGTTTTGGCTTTCTACTCTTTCCATTACTATATTTTTACAAAAAATGTGTCAATCTACCAAAGAAAGGAATAATAAAACAAATAATTTCAAACTGAACAATCAAAAAATAATAAAACACTGCTTAAAATTGTTGAAACCAATACATGACACTAGAGTTTTTGGCAAAGTGTGGAACGAGAAATATGAACATTATATAAAGCCCAAATAACCCAATACTTATTCTTTTGTTTTATGAATCCGTCATTAAAAATGAGCCAGAACATTCCTGGTGTGCCTAGAAGTGCAGATGGGGTTCGTCTTGTCATATACAAATAGGGGAAATTTGAGTTTATGAATTAGCAGGCATAGTTTATCTCTTGATGACGCCAACTTGGACTGGAAGTAGAATTTCATAGTTGTGGTGTATATGAGAATTATTTGTACCGGATTCAAAAAATATATTAAGGTTTTTTATTTATTGTTTTTTTTTATGTGCAATCGGAAGTTTTTACATTTTCCCCAAGTTTGAGAAGTAACTATAATAATAAATTTGTATTACAAGGATAGATGTAACAGAAACCAAATATTTCATTATCATATGCAACATGGAAAATGAAAAACAAGGCAATATAGAAAGATTTTTAAAAGGTGAATATTACTGGAAACTATTGAACCAGTAATTATAAATGGGGTCACAAGTTTTAGCTGGGGCACACTGTATGGGTGATGTTCATTTCGTCAAATCATACCTACTAGAGATCGCCTCGTCTCTCATATATTCTATAACTTAAAATATTTTATAAAGACATTTTGATGTTTTCCTGTAATATTTTTTGATTTATCATGAGTAAATATCAATTTTCCGCTAAGGTCATAAATTATAAGCTGTATGATAGTCAGTTGTGAAGTGATCAAAATTGTTGTTATCTAGCAAAATAGTATCAAAGCCTAAAACTACTGAAAATTGTTATTCGTTCAACTCCTACTTCTCTTACAATGCAAATATTTCTTGAAAATGACGCTAATATTTTTTGTAATCAAAAATAGAAAATCAAAGTTATCACTTTATAATAACTTTCATTCAAATCATTTTGTGTAGGACCTATTGTAGAATAAATGACCACAATATATTTGTTATTACCACTAGAAACTGAATAGAGACATTTTGAAACTAACTGAATTAGGTATACCTACCATAGATCAGAGTTATCGTTGTATTTGGGCCCAAAAGAAATCCTACTCCTAAACACTGAAATAATAATTATCTCATTTATTTATTGAGATAATATATTATTTCGAAGGCACCTCTGAATATTTTTCACAGTTTCTCTCAAAAGCAAAATATTGGAATTAGTTTCAAAACTCCAGCGCCTAAAAGTGAATGTTTCTTTGAAACTGCAACTCCCAACAACCAAAAAAAAGTAAAACCGTTCTGTATAGCGAGACAAATTACTTATTTTTTAGAAAAAGAAACAGTGACGGAGGAAATGGAAAATTTTAATGAAGTTTGTGGATTCAGTCAAACCGCTTCCAGCTATGAATTGAAAGTTATATACCGATCAATTCATTTTATTTAAAACGAAAGACCCTTTTACTCATCTTATGAATTGATATAACTATAATGAAATTCATCATTCATAAGTTACGCAGAGAGAAATATATTAAATTAATTATCCCCCTGACGCATTTTTACATCAACTTTAAAAATAATACCTTCGCTCCACGATTCACAGCACTGAATTAGTGATACATACTACAAGTAGTTCTCCAGGCTGTCAGAGAGGGTGGAAATAATTTGACAATAATTCAAAAAATCGTGTCATTCAAAATCGATTTTGGTAAGTAGTCGATTGAACTTTCGTCCGAGCTACTGTATGATTTTTCCATTTTTATTATATAAATATTCTCATTGAATGAGTTTTCCAGGCCATTTGAGTGTAGGAAAAAAAGTTCAAAACTAAAAAATAGCACCATCAAAAGTTGACTTTGTAAACCTATCAGATCGAGATATGTTGTTTCTGTAACCGATTCAATGAGATGAACATGACATAGAACTTTGGGTTCAAGGTCATTCACAAGTGGCGGTTGATCGTTTACCGCCCCAAAAATCAACCAATTTTTAAATAAATGACCGTGTTTTGACATGAAAAAACTAATTTATCACACTTGCATATTCGCAGGGTACCAACTTTTACGAAAAAGATTTTTTTCCATTTTTGTTACACAATGTTTTCAAATATTTTTCTCGTGTATCACTTTATAATATTCTTCGCAACTCATAGATACCTACTGTTTTTGAGTTCGAAATTCATAACTATGTCATAGATAAATTGTATGTAAGATTTCAAAAAAAGTTCTAGTTCAACCAATTTTCACTCCCAAGTTTCCCCTTTTCATATTTATGTCCTCTTTCTCTATTACTGGAATATATTTCAATTTATACTTCAAATAATTATGCTTCATAAATAATTTATGAAAAATTGTTTCTTGAAATAATTCTATTCGATTTGTTTTAAATAAATTTCTATAATGAAAGGCATTCGTGATAAATAAACACCAGTTATATTTCTCATTTATTTTGATTTTCAACACTCGTGCTAATTGTTTTATAAAACGTACCGTTACTGACTGATTTGCTGATAAAATTGTGATTCTTCTGTAGAATCCGACGACCTTGCAAAAAAACACCGAAATTCTCGATAAAAATAGATTCTAATTCCTAGGTTATGTCATTAAGTGTTAGGAAGGTAGGTAAAACATCTCTTGAATTTAATTGTGCTACTTTTAAAATCAGCAAATATAAATGAATATCTACTTACCAATTCCCGAAACTCGCACTCCACCTGCCCAAATCACCTCAACGCCCGAACCGAAATTGTCCAGTGAATTTTCGTTGAAAACTCGGAATTTTCTGAAAATACCGGCAGACACGTTGCGACACGAAGTTGGCAGACGAAAGCACGGACTACCGAGACATCGGCGCGTTTCAAACTGACGGACAAACGCTAAGCGCGAGGAAGCAAGAGCGCACGGCAGACTTGATATTTGACTCTTGACGAGTTGTACTTAGCGATTACCACGCTATTTTTTGTCGAAATCCTCAAGCCACTACAATAGTTTTTTTCAGTAGGAAAACTTTGATTCAATGAGTTCTTCATAGTTTTTATTCAATCATTATAACAACATTTTATAAAACGAAGTCCCCTGCCGCGTTTCTCTGTTTCTTCATCTGCCTGTCTGAACGCAATAAACTCAAAATCTACCAAATGGATTTTCATCCGGTTTTCACCAATGGAAGGAGCGATTCAAAATGAAGGTTTATGTGTATGAATTCGTTGATGTCTTGTGTGAATTGGTTGATTATACGTGAGAAGTCGTGTGGTGGTACTACCAGAAAAGGTCTACAAAAAGTCCGTGATGGCATATGTCTGTCTTATAAGAATACCTTACTCATTTTAATGTTCAAAATAATGGTCACACATGATTTTGTAATGGGAGAGCGATTTAGACGGTTACGATGTAAAATATAATACCTTATCAAACAAATACGTAATTTACCTTAAGTATTTCATTCACATTCAATTGTAGTTTCTACTCCCTTCAAAAGTTAATGTCGCATTTTTGTTCTGTGTTGTGCTTGGCTACCCGGCTTCGCTTAAAGAATTGGTATGACATACTGAGGTAAGTGGAATGAAAGGATAAACTTTGAATTGTAAAAGGTCAGCGGATATTGACCTGGGATGTTTCGAGATTTTTCAGAACATTCCGGACTATTTCCGAATATTCCACAAAATTCCAGAATATTTTGGTATATTCTGGAATGTTCTCGTCAACATATCTTCGTATAAAAACAAGAACCTTTTTCATGGATGGGGAATACACAATGATCTGGGATGTTCCCGAGTGTTCCAGATGAATGTTTTGGACTCTTCTAGATTTTTATCGAGGGTGAAAGTTCCAGCCCCTATATCTTCGAAAACACGCTCTTCGGGTGGAAAAAGTAACCTTCATGGATAAGCTGATGTGACATTATGACAGAAAAAAACGTGAGTAGTACGAGGGCTGCTAAAAAGTACGGTGAATGTTTAAATTTCGCTGGCTACGTATTCGTACAATCCATCAGCGGGTTTTTTTATTTTTTCATATTGGTACACTCATTTTGAAAATATGTTCACAGCTTCAGCTGTTTAGCATGTTTAGTTCGTTGGTGAGAGGCATAAATGTCGAAAGTGTTTTGCTTCCTCGACCATTCTCTGCTATCGAAAAAGTGGATCAACAAATTTGCATCAAATTTTGTTTAAAAAATGGAATTGAGATGATCAAAAAACTTAAATTGTTGAGAGTAGCATACCATGATTGTACTCTGAGTCTGAAAAATGTTTACGAGTAGTACGAGCTTTCCACAAAAGGCCCAGAAGATATGAATGACGACGCTCGCCCCGGACGCCCCATCGTGATTTTTAAACCAAAAACAACATCATGCAACTGCATTCACCACATTTGCCCCCTGCGACTTTTTTCTGTCCCATGAAAGAATGGCGTTTTGCGACGATTGAAGAGATAAAACCCGAGTCACTGAAAGAGCTCAGAAAAAGTACATATTAGAACTTCTTCGAGGATTGCAAAAAACACTGGCACAAGTGTATTATATCTGAGTGGATCACTTTGAAGAGGACAGAATATAAATTGATGAATGAATAAATATCTCAGGAGGAAAATTAAAATTCACCGATGTTCTGCTACGAGAAATGGCGGGTCGAGTCGTATCGCTTGTTCATTTGTCCAAATTATATAACAGTTAATAGATAACAATGTAATAAGACATTCACAAAAAGTTATCATTGAATAAAACTAAGACCAGTAGTAGATTCATACACCAAACTTTCACTTTTGAGTTAAGAGTTTTCGCCTTATATATGCCTCCAGTTCTATCTGATGAATGTGAAAATCTTGGAAAAGTGAAAATAGTAACCCAAATGAAGGGGTAAGAATCATATTTTTTACAGATAATCCACAGTTATGTATGCCCACAGGATGGTGATTATTCTCATAATATAAGAAGTGTTCTCATAACTCTAAAAAAAATTGGTTCAGTAAAGATGCTTGACCTGAAGGCCCATCTTTGGCCAACTCGATCGCCCTAGAAACTGCAGAAAGTGGTGTTTGTAATTTCTCTTATGAATGAATGAAGAAACAGGAAAAGCAAAATATGATAAGAGAATTCATATTTATATCTCGGAGAAAATAGTTCAGTGACTAATAAAAATGAATTATTATCCACCCAGAAAACAAAGTGTCTGATTTGGTTTGTAGATGATTTTATAGCAAACAACATAAATAATAACTATTTTTATTATACTATACATTGTTCCGGAGATATTTTTTCGGGGCTAAAATGAATCCCTTAGATTATTTTCTCTGGGGACACCTTAAAGCGTTGGTATACAAAACTGCTATTCAAAGTGAAGAGGATTTACGGAATAAAATCGTTAATTCATGTGACATAATAAAAAATACGCAAGGTATTTTCAGAAGAGTGCGAAATTCAATGATGCGGCGGCTAGACGGTTGTATTGAAGCCGAAGGAGGCCATTTCCAACACTTAATTTAGTGCAATTCGTTAGTCTAGATGTTGATGTTATTTAATATTTGTTGTTATTGTTACATAATCAGTAATGAAGAAATGTAAAAATAATAATTTCCAAAAGAAACATTTAATTCCCCATATTATTCCTTATGAGGTCCAGGGATATGCAATTAGGTTGACTTTTTTTTCTAAAAAACTAAGCAAGATACGAAAAACATTCAAGAGAAAAAGAAGTTGTATTTCTAATTGCTTAATCCAAGGAAATGATAAAAATTGCACAAAAGTCAGTGGCGTACATTAGAGAAGCCACTGGACTTGATAAATTGAATAACGTTCGGGCTAAATTAGCTCCTTAATGTTATAAATACTATTGCCAAATTACAACAAAATTAGGTAAAGGATATTTAAGATATTAACGAATAACTTTTTTTTTACTTTCATTTTAACACCCTGTATCTTGGGAACGAAGGATTTGCGGACCCATGTTTATATGAACATTTCGTCTTAAAATTACCTTAAGAATCGTCTGTTGAATTTATGGTACATACTTAATCAACACCCTGTATGTCTCGCTGGACGACTGTTACATTATTTTGTACATAATTTGGGTTGCTTATTGTGATCCAAATCATCACGTTCGCATAGAATATGGCAAGCTGCCTCTCTCCTTTCGTTGCATTGCCTGCATATTTTGTTCAGGTGTCGTCTCAATGGACAGTGTCCAGTGAGTAACCCTGTAATTGTTCAGCCTGGAAGACTGATATGTACTGACCAAGTGGGTAACTGAAATGAATAATTTGCCCCACACAGTATCTTTCAGCTCCCGTCGCTGCGTGTTCTGGGAATGACTGTTCATTCTCTACTCTTCACGGTATAATACTTCAACCGCATAGTACGTATTGAATACGTATTTCATTGTCATGTGATCCGAGAATATGTTAGATATTCGTTCCTGCACATATTTCAAAATTTCAGTTTTGTTCTATACCATGTAGGTCAGTGAGATATTCAGTGTTAATTGGTTCACTCTTGCTTTCTCCTTCATTACAAGATGTAAAGGAGGAAAGTTCAGGAGTATCAACATTATGGCTGTTGAGGTGGTTTTCATTGCTCCCGTTATTTCAAAACATGCATGTCTTTGAACCCTACTTACTTTGTTAATAGCGGTCGTTCGTCCCATCTTGGGCCACCAGACCATAGATGCATATGTTATCATAGGTTTAACCACCATGTGGTGGTCATGTCTGATTTTAGTCCCCGCATGTTCTTCCATAGATGCATTTGGCCAGCATCAGTGCTACCTCCACCTTTCTTTTCACTCTTTCTAGATATTGTTTCCAGGACAGCATGTGATCTAGTATTACTTCCAGATATTTGACCCACCCCGACAGCTGTATCTCTTTGCCTCAAAGTTTCAGTGGTCCTGGGCCCTCTGTTCAGTACATTTGGTGAATGCTACTATGGTAGATTTCGTTGGGCTTATATTCAGCCCTTCATCTTCGGCCCATCGGCTGCAGCATGCGTCCCCTCACTATTTCATTGTATTTACCTTGAACTAGGAACTAGGGGACTAGGATGACTAGGCCATCTGCGTAACCCAGTACTTTGTATACATTATCGTCCAGGAGACGTAGTAGTTCTTCCATTAGGTTTCGTAACAAGTACTGTTCTCAAGTACCCCTTGAGAACAGCTACTTGCAACCTGTGTCACTACTGTTTCTTCCATAATGGTCTTGTAAACCAATCTTCATTTGAGCATACAGTCAATTTACCTGCAGCTTGTGTCATCAATACCCCTTTTCTTCGATAGGTGGATATGAAATACACCTAAGAAAGTAGCAAGAAGTAATTCCTCATTCTTCTGAGCATATTCTGCTTTTTCGGTCACCTGGTATAATGTCGTGATACCTAATCAGTACGGATATTGGTCTTGATGTAGTGCTCTGTTAGCCAGAGCTATGTCCTTAATATGTCTATCAAGTAGTTGACATGACCCTAATTGATCTCAAGGCCTTCGCCTTGTTCAATTTTGGTATGAAGGTGGTTTTGGTGTGAAGGTGGCCCTAATTAGTCTCCAAGTTTTGGGTACGTATCCCAAGACCACACTTCCTCTCTACGGCTTTGATCAATTCATGTAAAAATATGGAGGCAAACCGCGGACACGTGTTTCTGGCTATTGGCCTCATCAGCGCGGTGCAGCCAATTGCAAAGATGTAGAACAACTGGTTACCAAAAATGAAAAAACATCACATATACACGGTGTCACCAACAGGAGCTAACCGCACATTTGTGGTTTCAATTAGAAGACCCAGCATTCCCAGGCATCATCTAACATCACCACGTAGGCAGCTATAGCTACCTGCGTGACTTACTCATTTTTACTGCCCTGA